TGCCCTGCAAGGTGAGCTGTTCTAATCTTCCTGCACTCTAACTATCTACCACCAACAGAGGCAGGAGGCCAGTCTCCACCTGAGCTAGCTCCGCCACATCATGGCTTTTATGATCTCCAGGGTCAGTACGTTGGGCTGATCAGAAGGCTCACTTCTTCTAAGAGAACTTATCTTTCAGAGATTGTTGGTCTGTGTTGCCTGGTGTCCATGGTTTGAGGAAAACCTTTTTAGTTGTTTCAGATGACAGTGAAAGTCTAGTCCTATTGCCCTAACCTACCCAAAGACTCAGTCATAGTATGACACACACATAGTACTTTCTGTATCTTCTCCTTGGCTGCGCCATGGCCATGGGGCCGGAATGGAGCAGGGTGGAAGCTAGCCAAAAGGCTGGCAGCTCATCTTCATCAGAGCCTCTGGGGAAGAAAAATGTTCTAGTCTGCTTCTGCAAAGATATTGGACCAGGAAACTCCTATGGGGCAGTTCTACTGTGTCTTAGAAGGTAGCTGGGCGTGTGAATGGATTCAGTGGCCTGGAAGTGGAATGTAAAGATAAGCAGTGGCCAGGTTAAGACGTTTTCCCTCAAAACACAGCTCAAATTTTCTCACTCTCTTAAAGAATCAGCTACTGAAAACTTACATCCTCTAACTTTTTAGACATGATTTTATTGGAGGCTAGAGCGAGGTGGTATCATGTTTAATGGGACAGAATTTTAGACTCGCTGCCTTACCTTCAATATGAAGGTGTTTAGACTTTGGCTGAGTGGACCACCCAGCTAGCAGATATCCAAGTATTATATCTCCTCCACCCATTCATTAGCTTGTGTCCTTTCAATGCACTCTACAGACGCACACTCAGTCTTTCTCCCCAGTACAAACAAAATCTCTTCCTTTGCTTCTTGTCTTGCAAAGGAGGCCACGTCCCCAACCCTATCCTGGAAAATTTTCCATCTAGTTTATACTGTAGTGCTACGAGAAGTATTCTATCATCCATGCTGAGAGGGGGGGAAAGCCTATCATTTGATCTTTAGCCAGGTGAACTTCCAGCAGCATCCTGTTTGCCACAATGTTCACACAATGGATTTAGCCATTCAAGATGCTCATGTCTACAAAGTGGTCATCTGCCCACAAGTCATTTTCTTCATTCCCTCCCCATCCAAGCCTCTCATAGCTGAGAAGAGCAGACTTGTAGACACATCAAGAGAATACCGCAGAAGTTAGTAGCAAGGAGTTCTTACCCAAATTGCTTTAGAAAAAGATAAAGGGGAAATCATCTATACATACGATGTTGGTCTTTTATTTGGGCACCATGCATGACAAATGCATTTCCTTCTGCATTTAGTTATGAGAGATATCAATTCCTCTTCCTTTGTTTCTTGTTTTATCCATGTATCAAAAAACAATGAGATCTATGAGGATTGTGGAAAAATGTCCCAGGAACCACCTCACTCGTTTGTTTCAGGGTGTCAGGTACTTGTTGAGTATTACAGTACAGGGGATTTGTCCCCGGTCCTGTTGGCAGAATATGGTCAGTTTGACTTACCTCAAGGCCTCTTGATTTCCTTCTGCAGGCGCTGGGGTGAACAGAACAGACAGCTGTCAGTCTGACAGCAGTGGATTCCTGGAAGAGACCCCAGAACCAGTGCCCTTTCAGGTAAAGTGTGCTGGAGGACTGAAATAAAACCTTTATTTCTAATCTCTACCTCCCCACCTCAGCTCTGGCAGCCTCCCTAGCTCAATGTCCTTGGTCACTGATAACTTGGAAGGAAATACATTTAAAAGTACCCCTCCCAATGACAGAACCACAACCGATACTTAGTTTAAGTATCTCTATCCCAAGAGGCAAGGGATGACCGAGTCACTTCCTTCTTTCTATTTACTTTTGATTTTTATAAGCAGGGAAGCTGAGCTTCGTAGAGAGGAGCTCCCGAATCAAGTTGTAAACCAGGGGGGGGCGAAATCAAGTTTTTCACTGCTGGCTCCTCACTCTTAAGTCAATGGTGACTAAGACCCTAACCAAAAAAAAGCCCACTTGTTGGCTGCATGTCTTCCCAACATGGTGACCCACTTGCCCTTTTCCTTGGTGCTTCCACAGACGTCTCCCTCACCAGGCAGCCACGGCCTGGAGGTTCAGAGCCACAGGGATCAGAGCGCCAGCCTAGCTTCATCCCAGGACCCAGAGTCGGATGAGTCTGATTCCAAGAGCATGGTGAGCACGTCTGTTTCAAGCCAGGACTGGAGCACCTTGAAAGCAAGGATCTCGGGGTCTGTCGGGGAGGAAGAGCCTCAGCTGTCGGACCCGGAGAGCCCACAGGAGCTGTGGAAGCCAGAGCACCCAGGAAAGAGCACCTATCTGGGGCAGCTCCTGCCGCTGCCCCACCTCAAACACGAGGTCTTTGGAGGTGCAGCCCCTTCCAATGCTGACTGCCCTCTGGAGTTTACAGGGTCTCACACCACCAAAGTGAAAGACGAGTTTCTGAGGCCCGAGGAAGCTGGGGAAGTATCTTTGGAAAGCCACCATGGTGAAACTCCAAGGTCACTCGGAAATAAACATACTCCAGGTGAATTCCTTCCTGTTGACTCAGAGCCCCCACGGGCAGAAGAAAGCAGTAAACTCAGGCCTGACATCAACCACCCCAATCTGACCCTACTAAGTCCACCACAGCTGTCGCCCAAGCACAGTGACGATCTTATTCAGACACATGAAAAGCCCATTCATCACCGAGGTGACCTTGTCCGAGGTACACCGCAAACAAAGCCAACGTGTGGTCCTCTGGGTGATGCGTCGTCTAGGGCAGAAGCTGCGGTGGGACACATTCCGCTAAATGCTGACTCCAACACCGGCAGCTTCAGGTCGGTGACGACCCCTATGTCCTCCAATCTGGTGTCAGCTGCTCAGAGTCCTGTGGCCTTGCGGACAGCCTCTAAGGGATCATCTTCAGAACGCACTGTGTGTGACCCTTCAACAGGACCAGAGCCGGGCACACAACCAACACAGTACACAGATGCTTCCAGCCAGACTCATCCATGGGAACCCATGACCTGGCACTGCTGTTCAGCCTCAAGTACCAAGGCCTTGGCACACGGACACCAGCCCCTCACCAAATCAGTCTCTCTGGACACAGGCCTCCCTCGTACCTACTCAGTGGGCACCTGCCATGGCTCCTCCAGGCACTGCTGCAGCTGTTGTCACCACGATCCCCACTGCCACACAGAGAGGCTCGATCCCGGCCCTGCACCCTCAGCCTGGAGAGACTGCCTGTGCTCCCGTAGCCAGCCATTGGAAGTGGAGTTCATGGAGACGTTCACAGCCCCCCAGGACCCCACAGTGACAGAGCTCAGTACTGTAAGTATCCACCTCCCCAAAGGTGGAAAGCCCAACACACCAACATCAATACCTCAGGGATCGTGTGCAGCCTTGCTGCCTAAATGTGAGATCCCAGGGCAAAGCTTCCCTTTTTAAACCACAGATGGCATCTGTAGAATGCTTTCTTTTCCATGCTTGATGCTTCCAATTACCCTATAAAATCAGGGGATTAGATTATTAACACCCATCTTACAGAGGAAAAAAATCAAGATATAAAAGATTAAAGTCATATATCTAAGGTTATCAATAGTAATGCATCAGTAGCTCATGGTCAGTTCTATCTAATTAAAAGGTCTTGATTATTAATTCATTTAGCTGAGTAATTTTGCAAATGCTACAGACTCTCTGGGCCTGTTTCTTGTTTCATAAAATAAGGAGATTATTCATATCACTGATACAGTGGGCTCCGTGTTGGGCTGCAAGGTTGGTGGTTCAAACCCACTACCTGATCCATGGGAGAAAGCTGAGCCTATCTGCTCCCATAAAGATTTACTGTCTCAGAAACCCATAGAGGACAGTTTTACTCAGTCCTATGAGGTTGCTGTTCATCAGAATTCACCCAAAGGCAGTGGGTTTATATACCAGGTTCTCCCTCTTTTACAAATGACAAAACTAGATTGGAGAGAATTTAAATAATTTTCCCAGCCTTGTGCCCCTCCCCCACAATGACTGCGTGGTAGGTCCAGCTACAAATTCTAATTCGGCTAATACAAATTCTTGAACAGCGTCCTCCAGGCAAAGCCCATAGTTTAAGTATCTAAAGCTATTTAAATAGAAGAGTAATATTAGAAAGTGGCCATCTGAAAGGAAAAGCAAGTTGCTCCCTGGATCTTTCAAAATGTAGAAACCCACATAAATACAACAATTGGTGTTTTTTAGAATCAGGACCAAATATTAAGCCTTGGCCAGATCCAGAGGTGATGAGAGATGGTGGGTGGGAGCAAACCTCTCCCCACTACCCCCGGCAATATCAAGGGACCTTCATTCGCTCTTTGTAAAGCGCTGAAGTGCTTTTGGACCCAATAAAGTATTTCATGTGCCCATATAATTAATTTTACAAAAGAACTTTGTTTACTCATGCCAACAAAGCATAATTTTCAGAATACCTGACAAAACAATTGAAACCATTGATACACAGAGCAGTTTTTGGTGATAGCATTTGCTGTACCTACAGTATAAAATCACCATTTTCCATAGAAATGAAAATGAAAATGTACTCAGGAAACATTCATACAGGTCAGCAGTCAGACCTGGAACTATTCCTAGGCTATTTTTTTCCTCTTTTCTTTTTTTCTCATCTCTGTCTATATAAGATAGGGAAGAGAAACAACTGGACTGAATGTGTGTGTGTGTGAGGGTAGAGGGGGAGGTGAGGGAAAAGTAGGGGGAAGCCAACAAACCTAGAGACAAGGGAACAACAAGAGATCTAAAATTGAAGGTGAGGAGGGCATAGAATGCCTGGTGGGGTACAATGTAGACGAGAGGAAGTACAAAGTGCTGGATGAAGGTCGAACATAATAGTGGTACAGGAGGAAAGTAACAGAAAATAGAAGAAAGAACTAGGAGGTATATGTAACTATATTAATATAGAGGTATAGGGATATAGGACTATGTACATATATTTATAGTTTAAGAATTAAGGTAGCAGACAGACATTGGGCCTCTACTCAAGTCCTCCCTCAATGCAAGAAAATTTTGTTCTAATCACCTGGCTTTCTGTGATGCTCACCTTCCCAACACAATTGTTGAACACAAAATGGGTGCATAAGCTAATGTAGTAAAGAAAGCTGATGGCGCCTAGCTATTATAAGATATAGCACCTGGGGTCTTAAAGACTTGAAGTTAAACAAGCAGCCATCTACCAGGGAAGCAACAAAGCCCACATGAAAGAAGCACACCAACCCGTGTGGTCACGAAGTGTCCACGGGATCAGGTATCAGAAGACCCCAAACAACCATTTCTATGCAAGCAAGGGGTGTCAGACTGGAGACCCAAAGCCCATCTGCAGACAATTGGACATCCCCTCACAGAAGAGTCACAAGGAAGGGACAAGTCAGCCAGAGTGTAGTACAACATCAAATAAACACATGACATTCCTCTAGTTGTTTAATGCCCTCCCCCCACTTTCATGACCCCAATCCTACTATACAAATTTGGCTAGACCAGAGCATGTACATTGGTGCAGTTAAGAGTTCTCGACACACGGAATCCAGGACAGAAAACCCCTTAGGAACAGTAATGGGAGTAGCTATACCACAAGGGTAGGGGGAAGGTGAGGGGAGAAAGGGGAAACCGATGACAATGATCAATGTATAACCACCCCCTAGCCCCTAGAGGTATGAACAACAGAAATGTGGTTGAGGGGAGACAATGGACAATGTAAGATAGAAACATAAAATATTTTATAAATTATCAAGGATTCATGAGGGTGGAAGGATGGGGGAGGGAGGGGAAAAAAAGGAGCTGATACCAAGGGCTCAAGTAGAAAGAAAATGTTATGGAAATGATGCTTTCAACATATGTACAAATATGCTTGATACAATTGATGTATGGATTGTTATGAGCTGTAAGAGCCCCCAATAAAATAATTTATTAATATTTTTACATTAAAATGCACATATTAACTTACATGCTTGCCCTGAAATTAGGAATTCTGTATAGGCTTACAATTTAGTTAAGGGTGGGGGGGGGAGTAAATTGCACAACTGAGTCAATTAGAAAACCAGTTAGTTTGTTCATTGAAAAATAAATATTTCCAAAAAATAAAATAAAATGTATCAGATATAAGATGGTTAGGGTTAGAAAATTCTCCTATATCATTTATTGATTTATTATCCTATATCATTTCCTTAGATTTAAGGAAAATAAAAATCACGCAAAATTCAAAAAGTAATATAGGTCAATTTGATACCAAAAGTTCCTTGTTTTATAAGGTTTAATTTGTGTTTGTTGTTTTGGTTGTGCTGCATGTGATTTGTAAGTTAAAACTTATTTTCATGAACTTGGGTCAATAGAGATGACCTGGTATTGTAGTTTTAATCCGACCATTATATTGGAAGTTCAAAACCACCAGCCACTCCTTAAGAGAAAGACTAAGCTCGCTCTCTTTTAAAAATATTATTGGGGACTCTTACAGCTCTTATCACAATCCATACATATATCCATTTTGTCAAACACCTCTGTACATATGTTGTCAACATCTTTTCAAAACATTTTGTTTATTTTTAATCAGTTTATTAGGGGCTCTTATCACAATCCATACAAACATCCATTGTGTAAAGCACATTTGTACATTTGTTGCCCTCATCATTCTCAAAACATTTGCTCTCCACTTAAGGCCCTGGCATCAGCTC